TATTATTATTATTATTATTATTATTATTATTATTATTATTATTATTATTATTATTATTATTATTATTATTTTATTATAATTATTATTATCATTATTATTATTATTGTTGTTGTTGTTGTTGCAATTATTTTTATTGGCTGGGTATTGTTGTTGATGAGATTGGTGCTGTTGCTGTTGTTGCTGCTGCTGCTGAGTATAAGCAATAAAATCAACTACAACATCTACAAGAAAACGACAACAGCAGAGCAACAATAATTACGAAAGCAACCGAAAAATAATCATTTCGTTTTATTGAGTCAAGCAGCGCGACAGTTGTAGAGGTAAAAGGGAAATCATCATCGTTCAAAGCACTGTGCATTGTTTCACAAAATGGCTTTTGAAAGAACGTTTGTTTGTTTTCGATAGGTAGACTATAAACTATGGACGTTCTTTAGACGCAAGTAATGACTTTTTAACTTGAAACTAAACAATACAAAATAATGTTACATTTATTACATGACTGCTATACACACAATACAAAATAATGTTACATTTATAACATGACTGTTATACACAAAGATCTCTTGCTATCCGTACGGTTAGAATTTCTTTCATCAATCTGTATTCTCTGGAGTGAAATGACATTTATTAAATGTGAATCTGACAGAAGTAAAGAGTTTTTTAACGGTATTGTAATTCTTTCAAACCAATGTCAGCGACCGCAAAAACCACGAAGCTGGAAGACCGATTACTTTTTAAATGAAGAATCGATCTTCTTTTTTATGATGTAGACGCAGACAGACAACACAAACACGCAGACATGATGAAGCACACTTGCAGTCTCACTTTAGGTCCTGACCTCTCACGCACAAAAAGCTGCAAGATAATAGATAGCGATAAAACGTAAGCGAGAGAGAGAGAGAGAGAGAGAGAGAGAGAGAGAGAGAGAGAGAGAGAGAGAGAGAGAGAGAGAGAGAGAGAGAGAGAGAGATGAGGAACAGAAAGACACATGATATCGAGCATAATGTGTCGCCTACGCGTTCATGTGACATTATGCTGTTGGGAGTGCCGTAAAACACTTAATAAAAAAACACTAAATGTGCCATGTATAATAACTGGCACAATATCACGGGATAAAATGGTTTGGCCACCTGTTGCGCATGTCACCTGACCAGCCAGCCTCGAGAACTTACAACACCAAGCACTCAGGCTATAAAGGAAGAGGAAGGCAAAGCAAAGGGTGGATCGAGGGAGTCAAGAAAACCCTAAAAAACATAACATCACAACTGAAAGAGCTGCGGAGCTGGCCTACCATAGAAAACTGCATCTCCCCTCGACGCTTAACGGCAACAGATGATGAAAAAGTAAAGGTAAAGTAAGTATATCACAGTGATATCCACACAAAGACATAGTATGTAATTATTGAAGGCGACACATGCACATTAACAAACATTCAAACCTGTATACTTACCCTGTGTATCAACAAACTATGATCTAATTTTTAAAATCCCCCCCCTCTCTCTCTCTCTCTCTCTCTCTCTCTCTCTCTCTCTCTCTCTCTCTCTCTCTCTCTCTCTCTCTTACACTGCTACAGACTCTAACACATTAAAATACAAAGACACACACTCACGCACACACACACACACACACACACACACACACATGTGCGCACACATTCAATGACACCCTCCTCCATCCAGCTCATTTCCACC